ACCCATTTCTAGACATAAAACTATAAATAAACCCTATACTATTTAATGTATATAAACACACCCAAAATAAACCCAAAAATCGACAGCTGTCGATTTTTTCAATTCAACAGTTATATTGGATTACAGTTTTGCCCTTTGCTATTTTGAGAAACGGCTGACTTAATTTTTTTTTTAAAATCTTTTATTTAATAACAATTATGTTGTAGATTGAAGAGGAATAAGAAGAAGAAGAGCATCGACCATGGCGATGCATGCGCTCATGACTCGTGGAGCAGTTTGTGCGGCTCCAAGCTCATCTTCTTCCGCCAATCCTTTCGATGCTCTAGGCAACGCTCTTATCGGTTTTTCTTCCAAGACTTAGGTTCGTTGTCTTCCTCGTTGCTTCTTTCACTTTCAATTTCTCTTTGCCATTTCGAATTTTCAATCCTCAACGGCGACATTTTCTCCAGCTTTTGTTTGACTCATGAGCAGGACGCCCACAGCTTCTGAGCCGTAATTTTATCCAGACACTCATGGCCACATGCTGCACCAGATATGAGAGAAGGCTCACAAGCATGAGCTTAAGAAGAACGAAGAGACCATTTCAAGGTCAGCCGAAATTCGAAATCGTATGCTGGCTGATCCTTCCTTTCTTTTTAAAGTTGGGACAGAGGTTTGTTTTTGTGATCTTTCTTTTTGGTTAATAATGTTTTTGAGTAATTTGTGTTTCAAGTCAAGGCACTGTAAATCATTAGTGCTTGTGAAAGAATTGTAGCTCTGCATTTTTCACTGTAAATATACCTTGCCTTCAAATTGGACCATTACATTTGATAGTTGTTGATCTTGTTGAATACTGAGGAAATTTCTCTTCCTCGACTCTTTTGTAATGCAGATAGTCATAGATTCTTGTTATGCAACATTTGTAGAAGTTCAGAAAAGGGGAAAGGATTTATGGGCTGAGTTTGAGTTGTACGCTGCTGATCTATTGGTTGGAATAGCTGTTGACATTGCTTTGTGTATACTTGTATAGATAGTTGAATTACTCAAGACTAATTGAGTTTACCACTGGTAACTGTTTTTGTGTGATTTTTTTAGGGGCGATCTGTCATATCAGTGGATGATACATTGAAAATCATAGCCTACAGGTAAGATGTAGTCATTTGTTATCTAGTTTAATTGAAGATTTCTGATGGAGTTTTTTATTTATGATTCTTAGTTTACATATGAATCTATGGTTCTGATGTGGGCTTTCGGTTGCTAGGGAACAACATAAGAAATTATCAGCTCTTGAGATGGAGTTGGCTGCAGCTAGACAGGAGGGTTTTACTTCAATGCGCTTCATAGAGATTAATGGAACTGATTATAAGAGAAGGCCACTAGTGGTGATTGGAATTTTTACAACCTTTGGTCGCAAAAACAATAGAGACGCAATTCGTAAGGCGTGGATGGGAACAGGTAATGCATTAATATTTCTATGGGCTCACCTACTTTCTGTTTTTGTTACAGTTAAATTTATTTTCTTTTTAATGTGGCACACATATGATTTGGTCTTGTATATAAATTCTTGAATGATAACAGATCATGTGGAATGTTGTGCAATGTTCCTGTTCAATGTTTTAGTTCTAGTAAGCGCATTGAAGGTTATCATTTTTTGTTTTGGAGGTTTTAAAGTTTGCATGTTAATTTACAGGTGCTGCCTTACAAAAAATGGAGAATGAAAAGGGAATAATCACACGAGGATTGTTTGGCACCCAATGCTCAAATTGGAAAGCCATCAGTATCACGAGGATTATTTGGAAGTTAACAACTACATCATTTCATTTGCATAATAGGTAGGATAGAAGTGTACAACTCCATACCATTCACTTGAAGTTTATGATATTCATAATGTGATTTTTACTAGGAAGATGGTTTTATGACATAATATTAACAATGTACTTCTATGACGTAGTATTAACAGTGTGGTTTTTTTTTTTTTTGTAGAGGTATCTTGTTATTACTAGTATTCTTCGTTGCTGGGGCTGGCAGGACAATGTTGATCAGTGATGCTGGGAAAGTTTATGCCTTTGGAAAGGACTGAAGATGGATGGTACTATGACATAGTAATAACAAGATAGTTCTATGACATAGTATTAACAGTGTACTTCTATGAAACGGTATTAACAGTGTACTTCTATGGAACAGTATTAACAGTATACTTCTATGGAACGGTATTAATAGTATAAACAATGTACTTATATGAAACGGTATTAACAGTGTACTTCTATGGAACGGTATTAACAATGTTACTTCTATGGAATGGTATTAACACTGTACTTTTATGACATGGTATTAACAATGTACTTCGGGCTTGCTGGGCTTGTTTTGGGTTTTTTTTGAGTTTTTTTGTATTGGGCTTGTTTTAAGTTAATCAATGGCAGAGATGTAATTTATAGTAACTTCAATACTCATTTTATATGTAATAAATGGTTTTTGGGTATGTTTCTAAATTGAATTTCATGTAGGGTTTTTTTATAATTTCAGCTCCTATTTTGGGTGTATTACTAAAGCTCCCCTAAAAATAAAGGAACACTCCAAACACCTATAAATTATAACACTGCCCCGACTTTTCACAATAAAAACCCAAACTGGTGTGCTTTTTTCTTTAAATTTAACCCAGATAACAAGATGTGGAATTCTTTCTCTAAATTTCATGACACTAGGACAAAAAGGAGATTTCATGTATAAAATATTAATAAATGCATGACATGTGGTTGATTTTGGGTTTTGTTTCTCCACATTAGATTAATCAGGGTATCTTTATAATATTGATGGTAGAATTGGGTATGCATATAAATCACTTAATTCTACCAACTAAAAGAAATTACAAATTGCACATGTTCGAAGGTTTCTTAACATTACCCTTATTTGTCCTTGTGTTTTCCTTATTAACACCATTCAAGAGGTGTTATATAAAATGCTTTCATCACTCGGGAAAATCTTAACTTGAACCCAAAAAAAGGTTTTGTTTATAGTTTTTTATTATTATTATCAAAGGACGGTGGAGTGGAACTTAGAGCATTTTTTGAGATTGGAATGAGAAGTACCACTGACAAAGAGCTATTGATACTTTTATGTATAATTTAACAAATGATTGCGTGAAATTTCTTTATTCTAAATTAATTGAGCCTACAACGCCTTACACGACTGAATGCGTGATATGTCCCCTTCAAGACTTCATTGGAAGAATTTAGTTGATGCAACTTCTTAATGCCCATGTACTTTTGGTTAATGACCATCCATTTTCCATTAAGAGAGGTTAACTTAAAGAAGAAAACATAAATAGACCCTTTGTCAGTATAGCCTGACTAGAATATTTATTTACATCGGGAGTACACAATATTAATTCAAGATAATGAAGTTTGCAGTTACACTTGGAGATGAAAGGAAAGGAAGTATTGAGATAATGTTGAACATTAAGCATAGATTTTACATAACCTAAAACGGATCAAATTCAAAAGTAATCTTCAGTCCTCCCCTTGAATCCAATCTGCCCAAAAGTAAGGGCGATGAAAAGCCCCAAGTGCCATGTTATCAGCCACAACCTACTCAAAAAACGTACAATAATCCAAGTCATGTTTACCCGAATGGATATATATAATATTTATATAAAAAAATAAGCAGTGGAATTAATCAAATATCACAAATGGTTAAGAACGCTCAAATTCTCATGCCCTCAATATAATTTGTATTTAACAAAATTCTAATTAATTATGCTTTTCTTTAAATATATTTTTTTAAACCTCATACACGTATAAATAAGAACAGTAACGCTGCATTAACAACAAGAGGTCCCATGGTCTAGTGGTCAGGACATTGGACTCTGAATCCAGTAACCCGAGTTCAAGTCTCGGTGGGACCTTATTTTTTTTCTTTTTCTGCAATTTTTAGTGTACACGCTACTATCGGAGTTGGACTCAAACGCAAGGCCTGCACTGCACCATGTTTGGCCTCTTTTTATTAATTTGCCCTTGGGCCCTAATGCATTAATTATCCCAAGGATTTATGAGAGAATTTGTCGCGTGTGTTCTCCTAATTTTTGCAGGTTTTTTTTAGGTTTTAGAGTTTTCTTAGGACATGACCTAAAATCGACTCAATTAACTAATCTTGTTATGCTAAGACATTTTTACTTGCACAATCCAAAATCAACCTTAAATTTAATAAACAAGTTATGTCGCATTGACGTGCTTTAATTCGATTACTAAACAAGCCTACCCTAATTCAACCCCACAACAAAATTTGTGACATCTATTCCTGGAGTAAATATGAAAGAGCTAGTGGAAGAATTTTGTTTTTTAATACAAGCGATAGTCTAAACTATAAGGGAGAGAAGAGTTTCTCATACACACACCACTAATGTGTTATGAGGGTTCAAACCTGAGATCACTAGTTTACGATTCTTTTTCACTGGGTTGGACCCCGTTGGCTAGTGGAAGAATTTTGATCACTTAACCTTTTGAGCTGGGATTTGATGGTCATTTGGGGTTATTTTGAGGGTTGTTTTGCATGTATATTGGTTGGGTGGTTTATTGGGCTTAGCATTGTTTCCCCTTATTTTGGGCTTATTTTTTATTTGGAATTTGCCTGTGTGTTCGTTTCTGTTTGTCTCGGCATTTGGGCCTTGTTTTAATGCGCTCTTATTTTGAACAAAAATGGAAAAGAATGTAAATTTAACATTTGATTAGTAAAGGGTAACTCCTAGACCATATAAAAAAGAGACCCAATAATAGAATAAGGCATGTTATGTTTTGCAAATAAAAGATTATTAAGAAGGAACCAAAAAAAGAAAAACAAGGCTACTGACCAAAACTGAGAGGTGAGAGCAGGAGGTGAGGGGAAGTGAGCAAGCTCAGCTCCAATGCTCTCAAAGAAGAGCCCTGTCAAACTCTTGCCGTCGATTGCTGGTATGCTCGATGGCACCAACCATCCGATCAACCCAAATCCAATCACATTCAGATCCCTCCGCAGCCAATCTCTCTGGAAGTTGCTATTTATGCCCAACACAACACAACAAATATCAAACATCATTGATTGTATGTCATCCTTAATTGTTTGCTCAATTTAAGATCAAACCACATAAACAACAATAACGAGTAATTTTTCGGTGTGATCATTACAGAATGTGACATGCCGGTGTAATGTTATCAATGCACACTAATTAGCACCTATATGTATTTACTAATATGTACAAACAAACGGTCATGATTTTCTTTATAAAAAAAAAACAAGGATTGATAAGTAAATTACCATGTGAACCTTCCTCCAGAAGCCCTGGCTTGCCTCAGAGGGTTACCAACGGCAATAGGCTTCACAAAGCCTGTAATTAGTTATAATAAAAAAAAGGTTCTTTGCAACATTAGTGTATGGTGCACTGAGGCGCATTTTAGAGAAAGCAGGCGCAAGTTAAGAGTGAGTGAGCATATTTGAATTGAACCTGAAGAGAGGCATGTCCTCTTTGGTGAGAGTGAGGAACTGCTCAAGCCTATCACGGTTGATGCAGTCGCCATGTTCGCTGCCATTCTTCTTTTTTTTGGGTTGAGTTTTGGAGTGAGAGAGTCAGAAATGTTATTGGTGGTGGTGGTGGTGGTTGAGATTAACTTGAAAGGGGTAGGGTTTTGTCAGCTTTTGATAGAGATTTTCTGGAGAAGATAGAGTGGATTTGCATGGATGGCCTGTTCTTCAATGGCCTTCTGCCACCTGGCACTTCATGGGATAAAGTGGGGTCCTCGTTCATCTACTACCACAAGCTGTTACATTATGCTGAAGTTGTGGGCTTAGCATGGTGAGTTTTGATGCCAGGGCTTAAAGTTGAGCTTTGCAAAGTTTGATCCATTAGAGGAATTGAACTGGGCCTTTTCACAGCTAAATACACCCATGCATTTGATCAGTTCACCTGATACTTTTTCTATTTTTGTTTTACCAAAACAGATCGCTTCTTTCAATAAAGTGAAGACGGGATGCCACAACCAAATAATCATTGGATTCGGATCCTCTGTTTTGATTTTCTTTACCATAATCTGCTTGACTTTTGCTCTCAATATGCCACCTCATTTAAATTTCATCCAAGGGTTCTGATTAGGATAGTTTAGTTAATTAATTAGATTTTATTTTGTTTCCCTTTTCCAACTAGGACTTGAGTCCAAGTTAAACAAGGGTGGTTACCCTTGTGATGGGCCGTGAGTATTATAAAGTGGTTGGGCTCCTTTATTGTAAGGTTAGACAATATCAACGTGAACAACACATTAGACCAAGGAGCGAGAGGCAAAGAGACAACGACAAGAGAAGAGGAATTCAATTCTAGGGTTTTTCTTATGCTATTTTTCATTGTGATTTCAATTATGACTACGAGGAACTAATTTTCTTAGCTAGGGCTATGATATAGCCTAATCATGAATACTCAATTTCTTAGTTAATATTAATTTCAAGTTTTTCTCTTTTTATTGAGTATCTTTTGATGTGTTTAATGTTTAATTTGGTTTGGATGTGTAATCACCATCTAAGTTGAATCAGTGTGATGCAAGTTAGAATAGATGTCATACTTAACTTGAGTTTTGCTTCTTGCAATTGGTACCATGAATGACTAATTGTAGATACCATGTAATTAGGGTTTGTGTGATCTCTACATAATTTCCATAGAGCTTAAGAGGTCTTTATGTGTCGAATTCATCTAGATACCATAGAGAATTGCATGTAAAGATACTTTTGATGTAACCATATGCCATGGCCATTGAATAGATTAGGGAAATTGATCATCAATAAGGGGGACTTACTTGGAATTGCTATGCTAAGGGATTGGGTAGGATTGGTTACGGTGAATCGGATGCTCTAGTGTCTTTCTAGCTTGGTTTTCCTAAATCTCTTATGTCATGCAACTCTATCTTTCATTTAATTGCTTTCTTTAATTTAAGCTTTTCTCAATTACAAATTCAAATCAAGTTCATCCATTAAAGTTTCTCAATTTAAATTAGTTTCAGTTTAATTGGTAAGAATATTAAGAATTAAAACAATCCTTCTGGGACGATGTTGTGCTTACTTAGCTATACTGTTTTTTGATTTGTATACTGGCAAGCATTAAAATTTGATTAATTTGGTAAACCTAAATTTCGTAACAGACATCTCCCTCATCTCCTTTTCCTCTCATCCCCACACATTGGTCCATATCTCTCCTCCCACTAAATCTCAAACCCTAAAATCTATTGACGTGAGTTAACCTTCCTAATTATACATGGATATGTCAACTATATAAAATACAGAAGTAAATCACCTAATTAATCAAGGAAATAAATCTCCTTGATTAATTAGGATAACTCACGTCAACACTCCTCCTCAAGTTTGTGCATACATGTCACCAATGCCCAACTTGGTAAGTGAGTCATAAAACACTCGTCCACAGACAGCT